GCTGCTGGGAAACCACAGAAGGGTAAAAAAATGATAAGTGCCATGCCCTGACATCACCTTGTTTTGGTTTTATCCCCTCGGTGAGGCACAAGCCACGCAGAGCCCTGAGAGCAGCGGCTGCTCATCTCTGGGCCTGGTGCGCGTCACCCCCGGGCTCACAGACAAAAGGGAGGCTGTGTCCTTCCTTGTCAGGGCCTCACCTCCTCTCAGGTGACACTAAATCCTTTTCTTATAGAATCATAGAACAATTCAGGTTGGAAACAACCCTTGGGATCATCGAGTCCAACCATTGACCCTACACTACAAGGTCACCCCTAAACCAGATCACCCAACACCACATCTAAACGACACTTGAACACAACCAGGGATGGCGACTCAACCCCCTCCCTAGGCAGTCTGTTCCAGGGTCTGACCACTCTTTCTGTGAAGAATTTCTTCCTAATGTCCGGCCTAAACTTGCCCTGTTGCAACTTGAAACCATTTCCCCTGGTTCTTAGCTCCTAAATGGCTAAAATCAGCTTCATCTGCCTCCCTGGCTGTCCCCAGAGGGACATACAGAGCCCAGCTGACCACCCGGTCCTCCCTCACACACTCCTGCCGCCAAAATATTCAGACGCACGGCTGGTGCCCGTCCTTCCAATCACTGCGCAATATTCAAGGCCACAGCTGTCACCTCTGTTTAGGGACCAGGGGCACATGGTCCAGAGCAGTGGGGAAAATGTGATGAACATCTCGCTGAACGCCTCAGATCAAAAGTAGTCGATCCAAGGGGTACCAGCATGCCAGCATTAAAACCAGTTAACAATGAGAGAATGAAAATAATTTAAATTATTTTACCTCGTTTTTTTTCTGAAGAACCAACATATGTGACATTTCTAAAGTGGAATATTTTGAAAATCCCTTTTCATTTGTCTAACAACAGCTCACCAAACTAAGGCCATTGAAAAATACAGCGTGTTAGCAGGAATAGTAACACCAGCGTGTTACAAGGATATATCCAACAGCAATTTTGTGGTACCTGGAAAAAGCAGGCTGATTCACCAATGGTTATTTTCATTTGGCTGACTCATTGGAGGACACTGGGCAGCATAATTTTTTTTAAAAATTCATAAAGGATGGTTCAAAGGCATTCATTATAATTTCATTAGTGTACAAGAGGCAGTTCTGAGTGGTTCAGAGGGCAGCCAATTTTAACTCGTATACACTGATGATTGCCCTTGCAGTAAAATAAGCATATCTGTGGCTTTCTAGGAACATTTTAAGTCTTAGCATCCTCCTGCAGTCCCAAGCACAAGACCTGTACCAGGGGGGCTATGATCCCACCTGCTAAGCAACAGTGTTATAGACACTCACCAGTCCCATGCAATAGCTAGATTTAAAAAAAACAAACAACAAACCACCATTAAGAAGTGCACCCCTAGATGCACTTGTTAAATTAAAATGACCTGGAGAAAGAAAGAGTGCTAATTTCCCTTGAGTTTTACACCACAAACTCCAAGAAAGTCAGGTGTGTCCTTTTCCTCGCTGCACACGTGTATGTTAGTCATCAATTTCTGCTGAATTCCATGAGGATATTAAGGTGAAGTTACATGTTATTGAACCAATATCAAACCAAATCCTGCCAAAGAAGGTGGGAGGTTGTGCTCCTGTCCATCCCCTCTGCCCACACCTCCACGCTCTGGCCGCTACCTGGATCTCCATTTCCTTGCTGTGCCTTTAGCACTGACACCTACCCTGTCCTGAGCCAGTTCAACTCATGAACCTTATAGAAAACTGTCCCCCTTTCTGCCAGCTTGGCTTTTTGCTAATTCAGCAAGTCAAGCGAGCTCAGCTCAGGGGCAAACAGCAACCAGGGAAGGCATGAGGCTGGCAGAGGTAAGCATAGCGAGGGCAGCAGGAGGGAGAGGATACAGGGGCACTGAGCTGTTAGATGGCTCAGGATGTGCCATGTACTTGATTAGAGAAGCAAACAGAAGTTTTCCTTCCATCTGTTTGTTTCAGTGTTTGAGTTAAACAGAAGTTTAGAAGACAAAGAGTTTGCATCTGCCTGCACAGACATTCCCTCCTGCTTAGTCACGGCAGGGATGCTGTGAGCCCAGCGGCCGGATGCTGGGTTAGGATTTGGGAACCTTTGGCACAGTGGGCGTCAGCCGCTTCCTTTCCCTGTGTCTCACTTTTTCCTACTGGGAAAAGGAGACCGTAATTACCCAGGAGACCTACATGACCTGATTCATCAGTGCATGTAAAGCCTTGTCACAAAAGGAAGAGGGAAGCTGAGAGAAGACAATTTGCTCTCTACACCTCACTGCAGCAATGGTCACCTCTCAAATAACTGATGGAGAGTTCAGCTCCTGCACCCACACACTGAAATCCCTTTCCGAGGCTGCTCTCTGTCTCCCTGCTCCTCCACAGCCCAGAGGCCGGACAATGCTGCAGGATCCTGCTTTAGGTTGTATCCTGAGCCGTTGTTCATTATCCTCTGATGAAGCTAACCCTGATGCCTTCACCTTCTGTACCTGTGATCCATTCTCATCTCTAGTAATACTAAGCCTGTGGGGTGAATTTTTTGAGTGTCTGAGGGACTTAAAAATTAATTTTTCACAATGATTGACCACTTTACTCAAAGGGAAATTCCCTACAATTGCCATGCCAAAGTAATTATACCTATACCACAAAAATTATCCCACTATAATTATGCCAGTATGAGCCTCCATCTGAACAATATGCTGGGATATTTTCCCAGGCGACCAAAATCCTCTGGCAGCTCTGGCTCCATGCCTCTGCGAAGAAGGCATCTGCTCCCAGAAGCCCTCTCATCCCTTGCCCTGGTGTTTTAGAGAGCTCCGCAAGATCTCCTTTTACCCCGGTACGATTTTCCCCATAAGGGTGTTGTAGCTCGACTCCTGCCTTCCTGCAGCCTCTCCGACTCCTCCCAGGAAGTCCCAGCCTCGGATGAAGCATTTCGGAGACAGGGTGAGGGCAGCATGTGTGTAAAGGCAGCCTGGGTGGGTTTGCCAGACTTTCGCAGCGTGACACAGTGTGGCCGAGCTTGATGTAAGTTGGTTTTACCCTCCCACCATCCCTTCAGGGAGCCGCCTTGTGCCTACGTGTGTGTGCTTGCTGGCTGCTGTTGCTGCGCTTGCCAGTGCTCCCGCTGCGGTGTTGCAACTCACGGTGCGCTGCGTTCAGGCGGACCCTTGTCCCCAGAGCCTTTTGGGTGGGCCTGCAAGTGGCCAAGCTGGCCAGCACTGCAGAGGTGTGTGGGGAGAACCGGGACGGAGGAGTCGGCCGGCGCCCGCGGGCTGGAGGGCAGGAGGTGGTGAGGGACCGGTCCCCGCGGTGACCTTTCAGCTGTCACCTCCGAAACTCTTAGTGTGCTCTGTCCTGTGCACCTCTCCAGGGCAAGAGGTGCTCTGGCTCCCTTGCAGGGTATGTACAGCACAGCCTGAAATGCCCAACCAGGTGAGAGACTCCCTCAGTGTGCCCAGGCTTTTTCACCCTCTGGTCACTGCTCCCGCTCCAAAACATCATCTGGGGCTGGGGAGCTGAGGCAGAGCCCTCCACCCTAACCTTGGTCTGCTGCTCCCACTGTGCTGCCCCGAGCTCTTTGCAGGAGCCTTGTGTACAGCTCTTACCCCAGCTCTGTAGTTTTCTGTAATCCAGTGAAGCCCGTTTTACAGCCACACTTTCATTTTGTCACCTGCAGGGTTAGTCCCCTCAGTCCAGTACTCACTTGCTTTGCATCCCAAAGCAGTGTCCCCCTGCTTCTCACCAGCTGTCCTGCACACAGGGACAAGCTGGATATTCCACAGTCCTGAGCAATATTATGCTGTAGCTTCCTGGTTTTCCATAAATTATGCTGGTTTTTCCCATTGGAGCAGAGGGATGTAAAAATCCTACTGGTCTCAGCTGGCAGCTGCTTTGCACTTGTGTCTGCAATAATGCAAAATGCCAACAGCGGGGTCTCAGGTCCTGCACATAAGGATGGAAGGTGCACCTAGGAGAACTTACCTGTGGGCTGGCCAGCTTCAAACCTGTTTTAATTTATTTTTTGACAGCTGAGTAAATTAATCCATGGCTGATCAAAATAAACCTGCATGCATCCTCCAGATTCAAGTACCTAACAAAACATTGACTTATTTTAGCTTAACTACTGCATGTTGAAGCAATGCTGTAGAATAATCGAGGGGACCTGAAGGAACAGGCTGCGTCAGGCTCAGAAATTAATTTGTTTGGAGCCTTGAAGGAAAGGTAAACATGAAAATAACTTTGGAGATGGAAGCTGACATGTTGTTAATCAGAATAAAACTTGTGACTAAATAGCCTGGAGGTGCAGCAGCTGAGAGGCCAGAGATTCTTAAAACCAGCATCACTGTTGCTTTCTTTTATTTTCTTTTTCAGTCTTAAGAACATGAAGAAAGAGGAAGGGGTGGGTTTGTGTAGACTAGATCTGCCCAGCGTACATCACTACGGCCCCTCGTTTCACTTGCCAGCCCCAAGAGGCAGGGTGTCTGAGCAGCCCTGCCAAGGCACAGCCCCACCAGCGAGGACAGTTGAGGTGCTGCAGGGGAGAGAGATACCTGGAGTCCACGAAATTGAATGGGAAACAGCTGCTGAATACCAAATTCCCAGAGGATGCCCCCTCACTAGTGTCCATACAGATCCCCCCAGTGCAGAGGAAAGTGGGGAGAGCCTGGAAATGAGGAGAGAGGAGGTAAAAGGCCTGGTTGCCCTTGAGATCCTGACTTTGTGTAGGTCATGGGCACAAAGCACAGTCTCAGCACTCTTTGACAACACACAAAGCAGCTTGTTCCCCCTTTTTCCTTTCTGTGGCAGAATAGCCACAACTTTTGGTCTGAACCTGTCTCGTCCCCAGGTACACAGAGTGTTTGCTTTGCCTCTGCAGTCCTGGAGTGTTTATCTCTCCCCTCTGTTTTGTGTGCGGGGGAAATGCAGGTCCGTGCCCACAGAAGTGAGACAGGAGGAGCAGTGGCATGCTTAGGAGAGTCGGACTATCTCTACGTCACTTCTTGCTGGAGAGGAAGAGCAGCGCTGGATATAGCTCGTATTCCAGTGAGGTACTGAATGCCCAACATGACTGGATCTGGCCAGCAGCCTGGCCCCTGGCTCAGGCTGCAGCGGTGAAAATCCCAGGGGAGCTCACTGCCCAGGAGCCTTGGCAGTGACAGCAGATAGGGCACATCAGGAAAAGCCACATTGGTGCAATGGCCTCGTACCCGGTTATTTCCACGTAGCCTGTTTAAAGGGAGCACCTCAAAAGCAAAAGAATATTCTTCATACAGAAGAAGGCTCATTGTTTGCGGTGTTGCCTTGTCCAATGATCTCTCCTAAGGAAGAGTTGGGCTGCAAAGTACTTGGGAAATAGCAGCATCTCTCTTGGAGATACAGACATGCAGAGCAAGGAAATCCCGTGCAGGACGGAGCCAGTGGTGGAAAGTTGTGGCCGCTGAGTCTTCTACATTTGCGCTGAACTATCCTGCCTGGTTGCCAGGCAAATTGCAGCTGGAGAAATGTATCGTTCGGCTTGGGGGACAGGACAGGCTGAAATAGATTCGGGGGCTGTGTGGCCCCAAGCCTGTGTTGCTCTCCAGCCTGATGGACAGCCACCCATGGCAGTGTGATGCGGGCTGAGGATGGGATGGGATGTTGAAAGAAGAAAGTATTTGTCATTTCCTTCCTGAAAGGGCTGGAGCAAACAAGGCCTTTCCTCAGAACTGGGAATACTGGGCCAAAAGCACCTTTTTTTTTACTGCAGGGAGGTTGGACTAGATGACCTTTAAAGGTCCCTTCCAACCCAGCACATTCTATGATTCTTCCCATTGACCCCCATCACACCTGCTGATGCTGTTAAATTCTCTGAATTGTGGCCAGCAGCAGCGCCACCACAAGAGAACAGTGCTGGAGCTGTTAATATTTCACCTCCAGCTATCTTTTACTTCCCAAGCCACGAATCCTTCTACTCCTATCAAAATCAGCTCAGGCACTGGGTCTTGCTATCGTAATACCCATGAGTTTGTGCAGAAAGATAAAAGCAGGAGGCTGGGGGAGAGGAGTGGGGCTCCCCTAGACCCAGGGAGGCAACGACTTCTCACCCTTGGCTGCCTGCCTGGCATCACGGGGGAGCACAGAGTCCATCCAGTGCCCTCTGAAACATAGGGCTCCTCAGCAAGTTATTTATAAAGATCCCTAGTGAGGGCTGAAGCTGTATTAAAAAATATTGCTGGGGTCTTTTTCAAATTCTGGTGCAGCCCTCTGGGAACGGCAGAGCTGAACAGGTAAGTGGGGAGCTGCTGCTGCAGCTGAGCCTGGGGACGAGGGCTGCCCCGCTATCCCCCCCCATCCTGGCACAGCAGAGTGCAGACCCTGTCCCCTCACATCCCAGCTCTGCACCTCATGTCTCAGCTGCTTCCACACGCCCTCCTCATCCCTGTTCAAATGCATTTTATTTGCCATGGTGACGATGGTTTTCTTGGCTTGTTGCTTCAGAGATGCCCTCCTCACATCCTTGCACTAGTTTTTCTTAGTGCATTGAGCATCGTTTGTCTCTGGCTTCCAGTCCCTTCGCTGTCTAGTTACCTTTTCCCCACGCTGTTGAGTTATTAAATTCTGTCTCTGCTGCTTTTTATCATCCTCATGATAAATCCCCCAACAAGCACATCTGACTTTTCCCCACTGTGCTTATCCAACTGGAAGGAGGATTTTGCCGTCAAGGTTTCCTACTGTCCTCCTTCCCGATCCCCCCTAGCCCTGATGCACACGAAAACTAGATACCAGTCAGGCGAACGGTACCTCGATGTCTGACCTGTGTGCTGTGCTTCCCTCTTGCCTGTACCCTGTTGTTGCCTGATTTTGGCATGAACTTTAGGTGCAAAAAGCAGAATGTTGTTCAGGATCAAGAGCAACTGCCTTCACCAAACACAAAGGAGTGAATACTTCTGCTACGCTGTAGAGCAGTGTGGAATAAAAAAGTTTGTTCTTCTAGGAAAAGAGGATATTGTGTGGCCTGGAAAAAACAAAGAAGTCCTTCCAACAGAGGACAAGAGAGGCTACAGAAGCCAAAACCCTGAAGTCTAAGGTCATTGACCTGGCTGTTACAGCTTGGCTGAGCATATCTGAGCCCATGAAAATGAGGTTTAAGACAATGCCAGCTCCCCAATAGTTGTACACATGCTCCATCTCAATTCTTGTTGAAACTCGTAAATGAAGCATCCTCCTCTGCCAGCTCTTGTCTGTTTGATCTTGCACAAAAAGTGTGTGAAACCACTTCCAGAAGCCACTGCATCATTATTACTGCTCTAGGGTCAGTGAGCAACAACCTGTGCGGCAATACCAAAGGGCAGACCTTCTGTTGGGAAAAACATAGCTGGGGGTGCCATATCCCCTGCGCACGCAGCTCAGGTGCCGTTAGTGAAAACTCCAAACTCGCTTTCTTTCTCTCTCTTTGCAGGCAAAAATGTCAAGGCCACTGCAAGCTCGGAGGCTTGAAGGAATAGATGAGAATATCTGGTGAGTTACCCTTGTGGTAAGTGTGGTTTTAGGCAACATAATGTGAGATAGAAACCGCCACACAGCACAGAGCAGCAGCCTTCTGTGGCTACTTCGTGTTTGTTTAGGCAGCCCATAAGAGCAGGTTTGTCCCGTGAGGCTTTACCCTGGCTCAGCTCTGCACCTGCTGCTCACACTCCGTGCTGTACTGGTTGTCCTGCACCGCATCATCCTGTGGGAAGGCAGGCAGGACATCACACTTCATCCGATCCGTCCACCTGAATAATCCCAGCAGCACCCAAACCCAAGCCAAGTCATCACAGCACACTGGCTGCAGCCTGGTGTCTGCTTCAAGCCCAACCTAGGGCACTGCAAGCGGAGAACCAGATGATGGGATGTTGCAAATATCAGCCTGACAGGTACGGGCATTGGGAAAACTGCATGCTTGAAGAAGAGAGTTAAATGGACTTTCCCCAAAGCCCTGCTGTGCCTGGGTTCAAGCTACAAACTGCTGATGAGCTGGCTCTTGTTTGAGACAAGCACTGAGTTCAGCCTGCCTTTCCCTCTGCAGAGGCCTTCCCAGTGTCTAGATGCTAAATTCTGCATAACTGACATGAGCTTGAGAACCTCTGAGTCCTGTCCTGCTCAATCTGGTCTGATCTGCAGCCGTGTGTGGCATCAGCTGCAGCTGCACCCCCAGACAGCACAATGGCTGTTTCCTTCAAGGAGAAATTCAAATCATCACCCCCAGTTTTAATTGAAATGGGTCTGAAGTGACCTGTGCTTGGTCCTGTCCGCATGTGAGGAGCAGGATGGCTCTGCAGGAGGGACACCAGCCTCACTGACTTTCAAAGGGAAGGTGGCAAACGCAGCCAGTGCCAGTGTGCTGCCCAGACCCCCTGTGAATGCTTCTCTTTCTCTCCCTTTCTTCTCTCTAGGGTGGAGTTTGTAAAACTGGCTTCCACCTACTCCACGGTGAACTTGGGCCAGGGCTTCCCTGACTTCCCCCCACCAGACTTTCTGAAGGAGGCATTCATGAAAGCCCTCAGCGGGGAGAACCACATGCTGCACCAGTACACCCATGGCTTCGTGAGTGAACAGAACGTGCCCACTCCCCTCAGCGATAACCCCCTCCTTCCCTGTCAGCCCTGGCCGCTTCTGGGCTCACCAGGCAGTGATAAACAGGGCAAACCACATGAGTCAAAACGTGCATCCAGCCTCAACCCGGGTCCCCCGCGCCCAGGGCTGTGACCCCCTGCTTTGCCTGCATGTTTGAAGCAGCCGGGCTGGAAGATGCCCCACACATTCAGTTGCAGGGCTCTTGGCTGCCCAGGTCCTTTCCAAGGGCTCGTCCTTGTTTTAGGAGGCTTCTGCAACTTCGTTCTTAGTTCTCCTCTCACCCTACAGGGCCACCCACCTCTGGTGAAGATCCTAGCCAAATTTTTTGGGAAGCTGCTTGGACAAGACCTGGATCCTATGACCAATGTGATGGTGACTGTGGGGGCATACCAGGCCCTTTTCTGCTGCTTCCAGGCTTTTGTTGATGAAGGTGATGAGGTAATCCAAGATTTGGGCTTGTTGCACTGGCAGCCTTCCGCAAGGAGAGCCCTCTCTGGCTGTGGGTCTGACAGCAGTGGCAGAATGGTTTTCAGTGTCCTTTTCTAAAGCAGAAATGGTTTTATCCTCATCCTCCACCATCTGGGCTTGCAAAGGAATAAAAAACCCCTCTGCTGCAGGGCACTGTCTCATTTCTGCATAAGGCAAAATAACCCTTTTGCCCTGAGAGGTGGTATTCTTCCCTAACACTGCCCACAGGTAATGCAGCTTCTTCATTACAGTAATTCAAAGATTTAAATTTCCTGTCCCTCCCACTGCTCTCTGCACCCATCAGGGAAGGTCTCAACAGAGTTAGGAGGGTGCTGACATGTCCCTTTCTTCCAGGTGATAATCATTGAGCCATTTTTTGATTGCTATGAGTCGATGGTGAAAATGGCTGGTGGGACGCCTGTGTTTGTCCCACTGAAACTGGTGAGTAGGCCAGAGCAAAGCTGTCATGGAGGGAAGAGGTGTGGCGGAGAGAGTGAAGAAGGGCATGGTAAGCAAAATGTAGAGGCAGTGAAGCAAGCCAAGATTCCCCTCTGTTTTCTCTTAGAAAGCTCCAAAAGATGGAAAACTGATGTCTAGTGCAGACTGGCAGCTGGACCCAGCAGAACTGGCTTCTAAATTCAGCAAACGGACAAAAGCCATCGTCCTGAACTCCCCCAACAACCCTCTGGGCAAGGTAACACCTCTGGCCTTGCTGTGGCTGGCCCTGAAAGCTGCAGGGGTGCTACAGCTCACCCAGCCAGGTTTGCAGTGTCGCCGTGACTTGACTTTCCATGCACAAGGGCAATGGGTGTCGTGGCAGCACTGCATGCTGCGCTTACTCCGGGTGTTTTTAAGCCTGGTCGTTTGTGCTAGTGGTGGCTTTGCCCCGTTAGACCATTGTGGCCAGGCTCTTACTCCGGGTGTTTTTAAGCCTGGTTGTTTGTGCTAGTGGTGGCTTTGCCCTGTTAGTCCATTGTGGCCAGCTTCTGCCCACCCTGGCTTGGCAGAGAGTGCAGGCGGGGTGTGCAGCCTTTACAGAGAGGCAGGGACAGGCAGGGGCTCAGAAATGCCCCTGCAGCATCTCTGCTCTGCTCCCTGCCTGCTGCAGGTATTCAGCCGAGGGGAGGTGGAGCTCATTGCAGACCTGTGTGTGAAGCACGATGTCCTGTGCATCAGCGATGAAGTGTACGAGTGGCTGGTCTACGATGGGAAGGAGCACATCCGCATCGGTACGGGGAGTGGCTTGGCTGAGCTTGGGTGTCTTCTCTGCATACAGCATCTTCAGGGAAGGAACTGGTGATTTAACTGGGGTCAGCTCTACTAGGCATGTTTCTCCTTTAGAGGTATTTTGCTGCACTTCAGTCTCAGACTCCAAACGATGTCTCAAACTGGAGCCAGCGAGGGGAACAGAGCTTCACAGCCTGAGATCTAGACCAGAGGGTCCTTTGGCTTCAGTGAAACTGATTTTTTTCCCATATTTTGTAAAACCATGTTTTTCTGAATATCTCTAGTTTGGGAACATCCATTTCAACATGATTTCAGAGGCCTGTTCTTCCTGTTGCAGTAACATTGCAATCACCTTACTGCAGGGTGGTGGTGTTTGGCATCTCTGGGAACCCCTGGGGCTGGGTACGTGTGTATAAAAACACTTAATTACAAAGAGATGCTCTTGAGAAACCCAGCTGCCTACTTGGGATGTGCTTCAAGGCTCATCCAGGTGAAAGACATGCTGTGAACACAAGAGGCCACCACAGGTTGTAGTGGGCAAAGGGCTCTCACCATGTCATTAATGCAGCCCAGATGCGAGCATGCTGAGCTCTGGCATTGGTCTTTCTCTCCTGTCTCGTTGCCAGCCAGCTTGCAAGGGATGTGGGACCGCACAGTGACCATCGGGAGTGCTGGGAAAACCTTTAGTGCCACTGGATGGAAGGTGAGTTCCCTCATGTGGCACCTCCTTGTCCCTGTTCCTTTGCTCCAAGGGGCGGGTCAGATTGCATCGCACAGCACTGGGGACACTGCTGCTGCTCACTCAGCTTTGAGCCTCAGGACCTGAAAGTACCAAAGCTACTCTGTGATAGCTCTGTCTGGAAAATGCAATGAGGCTGGTGCAGGCAACTAAAGGGGAGCCCGAGTACATACTCAAAGACTTACCACCGTCCTCCTCCTCTCTTGACCACAGGTGGGCTGGACTGTGGGACCCAACCACCTGCTGAAGCATCTCCGTACCGTGCACCAAAACTCCGTGTACCACTGTGCCACAGTGGCCCAGGTAAGGCAGCTCCCTGCAACCTGCCCTGCAATTCCCAAACTCCTGAAGCAAGGGCGAGAGAGGATCCTTCTGCCCATGGCTGACCTGAAAGGCACAGAGAGGGTGATGTGTGATGCTGAAGGGGCTCCTTACCCACTTCCTTCAGTTGCTCCATTCCTGGGAGGAAGGAGAGAGTCCAGCCTGCCTGGCATATATTCCTTATTTTGCATTGACAAATCCCAGAGGACATTAGGAGGAGCTGGAGGCAGAGAGCTCAGCTTGGTGCAGTGAGGAATCACCTCCTGCTCCCTCATCACCTGTGAATTGCATTAGATAAAAGACTCCGGTTCTCAAGCAAGCCCTGACCATCTGCCCACTGGGTTACCTCTCTCCTTGCAGGAGGCTGTGGCTCAGGGTTTCCAGAGGGAGCTTGAACTCTACGGGAAGCCAGACAGCTATTTCATCCAGCTCCCCAAGATGCTGCAGCAGAAGAGAGACTGGCTGGTCCAGAGCCTGGATGCTGTGGGGATGAAACCCATTGTCCCAGAGGGCACCTACTTCTTGGTGGCAGACATCTCTGAGTTCAGTGAGTTGTTCAGCTACACTTTTGCTCAGGTGGGGCTGAGCCGCTTCAGAACAGCACCACTAGCAGGGACAGGAACCTGCATAAACCACCACCCACGCTTGGAGGGACAATAGCACATTCCCCATCCAAGCTCCCAGAGGTCACAGGTTTTGGCTGAGGCACCCAGCAGCAGCCTCGACCTCTGCACCACTGTGCTTCTTCTGCAGAATCCGATGTCCCTGATGATCCCAATTCTGCTGAGCCCTACGACTCCAGATTTGCAAAGTGGATGGTCAAGAACAAGGTAAATGCATCTGGCTCTTTCTGCTGTGTTTGCCTCGCGTGGGTTTGTGCCCTTGCTGCTGGCTGTGCTCACGGGAGCCAGCAACACACCACCACTGCTGGGGCCAGCAGCTCACATCGAGAGGATGTCTGGAGCAGACGGCTTCACCCACAGGAGGAGTAACCTCGGCTCCACGTGTTTCCTCTTCCCAGGGACTTGCTGCCATCCCGCTCTCCGCTTTCTACTGTGGAGCCCACAAGAACAATTACAGCCATTTCATCCGGTTCTGCTTTGCAAAGGTAAGATACGTGACAGCGCGAAGGAAGACAAGCTTGGGAGTAATAATCAGGGCTGGTTTAATGGAGTAAATGACAAGAAGAAATCATAGAATCCTAGAATGGCCTACGCTGGAAAGGACCTTAGAGATCATTTTAATCCAGCCTCCCTGTCGCCAGGGACGCCACCTCTCGACTAGATCAGGCAACGCAAAGCACCTCGGGCATTAGAGGCTGAGCGTGGCATCACAGCTGCTTCAGTCTCCTTCTGCATATACGAGCTGAGCCGAGGGCAGACGTGCCAGTACTATCCTAGGCTTTTCCGCATCAGTGTCCTGCACTTCTTGGTCAAGGCAGGGAGTCTTCTGGGTGCACATGTAGCTGCCCGCTGGCTATGTCTGCCCCAGAGATGGCTGTGCCTGTGTCACACTGAACACAGAGCATTTGCCGTGTTCCAGGATGAGAACAGGATTTTTGTACTAACAATGACTGCAGTGAGGGGAAAGGGGATTTGGCTGGAAGCCACTCACCAAACCTGTGGTATTTTTTTTTAGGAGGAAGCTACACTGAAGGCAGCAAATGATGTACTGCAAAAATGGAAACGGGAGAAAACCAGTCCATGAGCGTCCTGGAGAGGGAACCAGGCTCTTCTTAGTCCTCATCTGCCCCAACTGCTCTTCCTCTGCTTAGCTACAACCTTTGATATGTTCTTATTTTTGTGCTTTCAACTACATTTTCTGCCAGACAAAGGAGTAAGAGGTTCGTCAGGCCCAGGGTCTGGGGGACACTTTCTGTCACTGTGAAATGGTTGCACTGTTCCTTGCAAGAAGCAAGTCTCTGACAGTATTTGATGCTTATACATTTAAAGACTTTGCTAATCAGTTCTGGGATGAATCCAGCAAAATATAAGGCAAAGGATGGCTCCTGGGTTCTTTTCCACCACCAAATTCTGAAAAGCTTTTTCAAGACCTACCTTTAATGCTACACTGGAGGGTTACTGTGGCTAGTCTTGTTCCACATCCATGCTCACGTACCCCAGGGCACAGGACAGCATTTCCACCAGTATTTCCCCACAGGACTGTGCAGGATCACTGCCCATCACAGAAGTTGATTACTATAATTCTGAAAATTATAAACCCAGAGAAATGCTGGGGTTTTTTCTATGCATCTCTTGCAATCTCCCACCTGCCAGGCTGGTAGGGTAATGCGAGCAGTGTTTTGAAAGGTAATTCTTGCATCACTCTTGATTTCAGCCTGGATAAGAATGCAGACCAACATCATCAATCACACAGGAGTTACATGTAACAGATTGTGCAATAAGTACTTGTGGTGGTTAAATTATTAAAGATTACTGCAACTATTCAAGAGTAAATGTCACAGAAACGACTTCAGGGCTGACACAGCTCTCCTGCAGAGCTGCCGTCACCAGTACACCTGTGTTGCGTCCCATGATGGTGGCTGCTTGTCCCACCCAGGCCAGTGGGCAGCAGCTCCATGACTTTTCTGTGTTGGGCAGCAGCTGGTGGTACCAAACCTCTCAGAACCAGAGCTGCACCGACCCAAGTGAGCCAGGCAAGGAGAGAGGGAAGCAAACACCCACCTACTGCCTTTGCCCACATGAGATGCATCAGCCTGGATGGGCGAGGGTGCTGCTGAATATCCTTTTGCGCCCTCCTACACGCCACCTGCCAGGAGAGCTGCAACCGCTGAAACAGATGAATGACCACAAAATTAGGTTATTCACAAAAACGTTAATTGCAACACCCTACATGCGTCTCTAAACCATGGCACATCCTGCAAGGTGCAGGATGCAGCCCGCCCATCCTCCAACGCTCCCCCAGAAGCGGGTGTCTGGATGGTAACCCACCCCCCAAACACACCCGCCCAGGTCACCCGTCCGCCCGCAGGACACGCCGCCTCCTGCTCAGCTTTAAACCCCGC